ACACACACACACACACACACACGGTCAGTGGCACATATTACCTAAATATCATCCAAAACTCTTCATAGCCCAGATGTTGGGTCTGGCAGGCAGTGTCCTGCCCCTGGACTTTTTTTTGTCATGCTTCTCAAATGGAACGTGTTAAAAAGGTCAGACGGTTTGCAATGTTGAAGTAAGTCATGTAACCACTCACTCCAAAGTTTCAAACTACTTGCCCTTCTCCTGGTTATGGTGATTCTGCAGCTGTCATCAGGAACTATATCCACTGCAGTGGCAGCATATGTTGGGGGTGTAGGGGGCACAGGTGGAGGGTACATGGTGGGGCAGGAGGACAGGAGGGAGAGGGAGGACATGCACTATAGGTGGTGGAGGGGGCAGAAGAATTAAGAGGGGGTAGAAAATTAAGGGATTATTGGCCTCCCCCATTTAATTTTTTTTTTTGAGCAGCCCCATCCTGACCTGAACCTATAGCCACTCCACTGCTGTGAAGGAGGATGAGTGAGGAGTGAGGAGCAAAGAAGGTAAAAAAGAACACATAGTGGCACCTACTGGCTAAAGGCCGGGACACAGGACCCCTTCATGCTGAAAGGGATTAATTAGAAGTCTTGGGAGTCTCTGGCTGTTTGCACAAACAAATCCACAGTTGGAGCAGCATAACTGCAGAGTGCCACAAATTAACACATCTCCAAGGAGTGTTAGTTTAAGGCTCAAAATGGACTTTAGAGTGGCAGGAAATCCCAGGTTATACAAATGCAAAAATTAAACACAGTTGCATCGGTAGAAATGGGAACTATTGTTTCATCTATACATGCCCTTAGGCTATAACAACTAAGTGATGGTCATTTCCTGAAGCTAAAGTATCTGGAGGTGCAGATTAGGGAAAAGATTGCTAGCGAGTAATTTGGAGGCATATCTGTGGTACAAGGATTTTATGTGAGACTATGGTAAAGTTATGACTAAGAGCAAAGGATTTTACTTGTCCTCTGGCACAGATGTTACAAAGAAACATCCAGTGCTACTCATTCTCATATAATTTTCTATTATTTTTCCCACAGCAGTGATGTTAATGCTGACTGATTATTGACAAACAATAAAATATGAGTAGATATGGATGCACATGACATATTAATTCATCTAGTCTTACTAAAGCTATTATCTGAATGAAACTGAAGTTAACATGTGTGTTTTCATTGTCACCAATGGAATTTAGATCAGGCATAAATGAGGTGCTAAAAGAACCCCCAAGGGACCTTGATGACACCTTCACAAGAGAAGGCTGAGAGGGGATCTAGTGACCATCTATAAATTTACCAGAGGGGAATGGGTGAGACCCTGTGCCCCCGAGTGCCTCCCAGAGTAACAAGGAATAACGGCAACAAGCTGGTTGAGAGTAGCTTCAGGCTAGATATCAGGAGGCACTACTTCACAGTCAGGGTGGCCAGGATCTAGAACCAGCTTCCAAGGGAAATGGTGCTGGCTTCTACCTTAAGGGTCTTTAAAAGGAGGCTTGATAACTACCTAGCTGGGGTCATATGAGGTTAAACTTACCAGGGGTCATATGAACCCAGTATTCATTCCTGCCCAGGGCAGGGGGTCAGACTTGATGATCTGCTCAAGTCCCTTCTGACCCTATATCTATGAACCTACTCCTAGTATTAGTTTTCACTAGAATTTTCACTCAAACTGGAACTTGTTTTAAACGCTCATGTAAA